GTAATTTACATCAAGCAGAATAACACTGGCAGAGATGGCTGAACAGGCTGAATTGCTTTCTTCGGTTGCTATAAGCAGCATTATTCAGTTTAGAAAAATAGCAACAGAAGTAGGCCACTTGACTCATTGGACTTGTTCCGTCAGTATGTCTATAGACCCTCTCTTTAATTCCATTTCCTTTTTATAAATCCCTTAATAACCTTACTAAGTATCTATCTTTCTCACATCCTACTGCCTCAATTTAATTTGCATCTAACGCCTTCTGTTCTAGATTCTCTCTTTTTTTGGCAATGATACAATTACAGATGGCCAAAATAACTCACAGGGATGAGAGATTCCCATCAATATTTGACACCACTCCCACAGCTGTGACACTGGAACACAACCTAGGAAATAGCACTGCTATTTACCTGCATGCAATCCTTAGAATCATGGGATGCTTATAGCATACATGGCAGCAATTCAGTCCTTCCTGGGGTTTGAACCCACAACCTTCTGTTCCAAAGGCAATTGCCACCAGCTGAGCCAAGCTGTTGTCCCTGTTTTCAACCTAATCGCTGCTTCCTGTCCTTCAGCTATCTTTCTGTTTGTGCTGCCACATTCCTTTTCAATATTGTGGGTATGAAATCCAAAGCTTGTTAAGACTGTTTTATCTTTTAGGTTAAGATTCATGGAAAATTCTTAAATGCAGTCTTAATTTAGAAGTAGGTTTTCCACCACTATTAGTGGCTTCCAAATTAAGATTGGAGAATTTTTGACAATTCTGCATAATCTTAAATTTAAAGACCAAACAGCCTTAAAAGCTAAAACGACAACAACAACAAGTTGCATTTGTATAGCCCCTTTCACGTTGGGTGGACGTCCCAAGACTAGGTGGAATACAAAACCTCATTTGCCATATTATTTGCTACAATCTCCATATGCTGGCTCCTTACCAAACGTTTTTTAAAAAGTCATATGTATAACATTCACTGCATTCTCTTTATTTATACATTCTGTTATTTCCTAAAAGAAATATTAAATTAGTTAACCGCCTAAATGGTTTATGCAAAATCACTAAAAGATATGACAATAGGACAGAATGAGAAACTGAATTAATTTCTGTTAGCATTTGCTGTCAAAAATCCTGCACCAGCTGTAAATGATTCTCTAGGAATGGAAACACAGAGGCTGTTTTGAAAAAGGAAATTTGGGATTGCAACAGACAACTTGCTCCTCAGTGGACTAAAACTGAGCAATCTCTACACCGTAGTGAGGAACGTCCATTACTCTATATTGTGACAGGTAGCAGTTCAAGACCAACATTCCCATCTATCACCCATTTGTGTTGTAAGCAGTGATCATGCAATCTATTTGTTTACTCTCCAAGCAGCACTGACAATTTGTCTGCCAGAACTCTTCTGAATGAGGCACCAGAATATTGTTACTATTAATTCTCCTCCTCTTAGTTACAAGGAAACACATCAATAATTGGTTCACTGAACTGATGATATGCTCTGAGATGTCCTACATGAAAGATGCCAAATAACTGCAAGTTGTTATTGTTGTAGGCTGAAGACTGGAAGATCAGGGCTATGGTAGAGTTTATCCATCTTTAAACCTAATCTGAGTCTTTATAGCTAATGAAGATGGTTGATTGCAAAGCTGAACAAGATATGTTACAGGAGGATTTGAACACACTTGGGAATCGGGCAGATCAGTGGCAGATGAAATTCAATGTGGAGAAATATAAAGTACTTCACATGGGGACAAAAAATTCTGGAAGGGACTATTATTTGAACAGAAGGAAAATAATATGTATGGAGTGTTGATTCTTTCAAACACCGATTAGATAGTTTTCTTTTAGGAAATAACATTATGGGATATAGTATATAGATAGTTTGGGACATATGTGCATGCGACCGGCAGGAAGGTGGAAGGCAAACAAGATGGACCTTGGGTCTTTTTTTGTCTAGCATTTCTTATGTTCTTATGTTCTATATTCATCATGCAATTCACCCACAATAAAGGATGGGGAAATGCACTTTCCGATGTGATAATTATCACCTGGGGTGATGATTTATGTGTGGAAATATAGAAAAAAGAACTTGTAGCTTTATCGTGACTTATAACGTCAAACGTCCCAAAGCAATTCACAATTCACAGGTAATTATTATCAAGGGTGGTGACTGTTTTTATATGCCAGCTACTTGCTCTAGTAAAAAGTTGAATTAATGTGGGATGATGTACACCAGGACACTGGGAGAGACTCCTTTCTCATTTTGAATATTTGACTGGCGAGAGCTCACTAAGGAATGTCTTCAGTGAAAAATGATGCAATTCAGCAACTGAGTTTGTACAGAGGTATGCCTGCTGAGGATAAGATATTCAGAACACACAAAGGCTTATGATTCTCTTAAACTCTTATGATAATTATCTTATTCTCACATTAAGAATCAACTACCGTAGCATTTCTTATTGTGAGAACTGTCTTATTAATTCCCTCTACCTGCCTCTTTCATTGTTTTGTCTGAGTTACGGATTTAGAACAAGCAACTAAGCTTCAAGCACATCAGCCCATACCTCTCCGTGCATAATTGTGCTCCACACTGATTCTCTCAGACTCTGGCCATGCATTCGTCACTGTTCTTTAAAAAAACTCTTAAAACAGGTTTTCTTGTACCATTGGTCTAAACTAGCTGGATGTAGAACAGCCAATATTCAAAGCCGATGCACAGCAACATCCTATTCTATGGGTCAGTCTGGCTCAGTTTGTAGCACTCACACCTTTTAGTCAGAAACTTGTGAAATCAGGCCCCATTGGAACACTGAGCTCATATAGTCTAGGCTGGGAGAACGCTGCAATGTCAGAGATGCCTTCATTTGATTGTGACGTGAAACCAAGGTCCTATCTGCCTGTTTAGATGTACATTGGAGTCCTGTAGCTCAGTGATTAGAGCACTCGCTTTGCAAGCGAGAGACCTGAGTTCAATTCCAGGCAGGGTGAAACCTTGGGCAAGTTTCCTTACTCCACACGCCTAATAATAATCCCTCCAATAATAAGTTGGTCATTTTCAATCTATGACTGTTTGTGGGACACTGCTGTGCGCAATTGGCTGCCGCGTTCGCCCACAAATATACAGTCAATTCACTTTACAGTGTGTTCTGTGAAGCGCTTTGGGACATCCTCCCGACGTGAAAAGCGCTATATCAAATGCAAGGATTATTATTATTATTATTATTATTGAAGATCTTGCACGTTTTAAAAAGAGAAAGGAGTTTTTCCCAGTGCCTTGGCCAACAGTACTCCAGGTAAAATTGATTGTTGTTTGTGGGACATTGCTGTGCAAATTGACTACCAGGTTCTCCTGCAAACACAAAGTCACTTCACTTTACATTAAAATCTTGTGAAGCCCTCTGAGACATCTCGATGATTTGACCCTTGCATTTATTGTTAGATATTGCGCTGAAAAGTCTCAGTACAAGTGTCAAGTGTAGCGACTGTATTTGTAGGCAAACGCACACAGCAACATTCCACAAGCCAGTCACCAAGTAACTGTTTCCCAATTATATTGTGTGTAATATTTGCCCAAGGACAAGGACCACACAAACACATGTTACAGCTCAAATACAGTAAGTTGTGGATATTGTGCTGATGTACAGTTCTGAAAGAATTACAGTAGAAAAATAATTCATGTAACATCAAAGATAACTAAATGCAAATAATAATAATCCTTGTATATAATATAGCATCTTTCACATCAGGAGGACATCTCAAAGCTCTTCACAGGAATCACTGTAAAATGTAGTAACTGTGTATTTTGTAGTCAAACGTGGCAGGCAGTTTGTGCACAGCAATGTCCCACAGAGAACCACAAAATGTGAAACGTGAGATATTGAGTACAAAATGGGATATGTGACGTGATAATTATCATATGATGTTAGCACACTTTAGGAAACTCTGCCCCTGTTAATGTTTGAGTGAACAGTGGGGAGATTCAGATCCAGTGAGTCTCCACATGTTGACTCAAACATTAACAGGGGCAGCTCAACTTTAAAAGTATGACTCAAAGGCTGTTGTGGCTTTAGGGGTTGATCAACTATTTTGACCATAGTTGGTCAAAATAGTTGAACAACCCCTAAAGCCACCCACAACAGCCTTTGAGTTAGAACCATGCTTAAAATGGCACTGAAAGGTGGTGCTAGGGTGAGCTCAGTTGTAATTTACTGCCATAATACAAGAGATTTTCCATAGGTGGTTATTGGCAATGAGTATAATCAACACAAGTTAGTGCAGTCAGCAGCAGGCATTGTGGCAAAAACTGGCCTTCCCAGCAGGCATTGGCGGTGGCATTTTGCCTGACAAGGAGAAAGAGAAGCAAAAATAGAAGCAATAAAACGAGCAGAGTAACACAGGGCAGAGACAAGAGCATTGTTCAATCATGCTTCAAATGTCCCTACGCATAACGTTTGTTTTGGCTTTGATAAAATTCATCATGACGCTTTGATGCAAGCACAAAGAAGCTCAAAAGTCAGCATCTTTATGCATTTTTCAGTGGTATGTATGATGATGAATTACAGTCACTCTGCTCAGCAATAAACATGTCAGATGCACTGATATCACCAAAGCCTAGCATTGTTGCATCCTGTTCTAAAAATAATAGGGTAAAGTTATCACGAACGATATCATTGCTGATGGTTACTATGGAGATCATATTTAATGAAATTTTATTTCTGTTTAATATAATTTCTTGATTAACTTTCTCAACAGCGACGACAAGTTTCTTATTTAAATTTGATTACTTTGCTGCAATTTACAATTCTGTTCCTATTGAGAGACACTAATGTATCTCAAAGATGTCAAATATAACTCACAGGTCTTGTAAGCTTCGCTTTGAAAAGAGCAGAACAAAATAGATGTTGAAATAAGCCAAGAATATTCTCAGTAGTGTCCTCCATAATGAAAGCAGGTGGCTTTGAGAACACAGTTTCCTGGCCAGCTCTAAGCTAATTTAATGTACCTGAGGGATACTGCCCCAGGTCCGTAGATCTCTCTCACAGCTGCCAGATCAGCTTCCAGTTGCAAGTGCTTGTGAAGCTCACCATCAAAGTTTCCCTGAAACCAAAAATACAAGTTACAATTTAAATATGCACTAAAAACAGGGGAAATGTACCTGTGTGAGAAAAGAAAAGGGAATTTCTCCCTGCGTCCTGGCCAACAATCCCCCAGATAAGATTCAATCATTCACTTCTCGGCTGTTTGTGGGATAGACATTATTGTGCTCAAATTGGCTGCCGTGTTCGACTACAAAACACACATTCACTAAGTTTTGTAGAAAATCTTGTGAGGGAGCACATCCCCATCACTGCTTTGGAGTGTCGCTTTAGATTTTACCAAGTCCCTACATAGGGCTTGAACCCACAACCGTCTGACTCAGAGGTGAGAGTGCTCAAAGGCAAGACTCCTACCAACTGAGCCAGGCTGACAGATTAATCTTTTTCCCTTGATGTGTTTATTCAAATTGAGGTCCTATCTGCCCATCAGATGGACATTATGTAGTCCATTTAATAATCCCACTTTATTCGATAAGAGAAAAGTTTCCCCCAGATAAAAGTGGTTATTAATCTCTTGGATGTTTGTGGGATGTGGGCTGTGCCCAAATTGACTGCCTCATTTGCAGACAAAATACACAATTAGCTCACTTTACAGTATATCCTTTGATGAATTTTGAGACGTCCTCCCATAAAAGATCCTATATCAAATGCAACAATTATTTTTACTGTTGCACAAAAGTGAATAACATTTCATTGGAATTTGGCTCATTGGAAAAGGCTATGTTTAACTTGCAGGAAATTTGTTTCCTAGTCGCTGTTAGAGAAAACGTTCTGCTTCAATTGAGGAATTATATTGATCTGATTGTGAGTGGCATGCTAGCAGGCTCCCTGCTCAAGGATGCTGAGCACATGTCAGTACTTTAATAGATGGAAAGAAGGTATTGGATATTAGACACCATCACGCTCCCTGCTTCAGTGTCTAAACAGAGTGAGAAGTTCTGAATGAATTCCACACCACTGCAGTGAAGCTTTGAGCACATTGCGTCCTTATTATCATTTATAAAGATTCCATACTTAATATTAAAATAATTTCCATATCTGCGTGCTGGATCTTCAAGCTTTGCTGGTGTTTTGTAGCTTTAATGTTTTGATTGAAGCTGGGCTGAATATTAAATAGAAATGTGTAAATGGATTCTTAATGCATCTGTGGATTTACTGTTGTATCTGATTACTGCCACCGCTGAAAAGATTTAAAGGCACACATGGTTACTGACCGTGTCTCTCACTGAAAGGGATGTTTACGTCCCATTGCTTTGTCCCTGCCATGGGATCTCTTGAACATGTCTGGGTGTCTCATGGCGGATTTATGTTGTGAGGTTCTGCAAAACCACTTAGGTTTAAAGCCTCTCTGCAATCTCTTGAACTGCTGGATCCATCCATATGCAGCACTGGTACCATGCGGTGAATTTAACAGATTTGATGTATCACAATACGAAATATGTTATTTTATATGTTTTAAGCGATAATTAAAGACCAAGTGTTGAATTCAGACTTAACTTTGAAGCCAGTTTACTGTCATCTCTTAAAAGAATTTACAGAAAGCCAGCTTTAAAATTAAGGATATACAGTATTTAAGAATTTACCAAATTCTGGACTCTCTAATAAATATAGTGTTAATAATAATAATATTTTTTACATTTTGCTAAAAAAAAACAAGATCCAGGTGGAATTTCTCCTTCAGAGTATTTGTAACACAAGTAAATGGGGTTACTTGATATAATGACATAATGAGCTGGCGTGGTTGTTGGTGGTGGTGATTCAACAATAATAATCCTTGCGTCTGATATTGAGCTTTCATATTGGGAGGACATCTCGAAACACAAGATCCACTGTAAAGTGAAGTGACTATGGGTCTTGTGGATAAATGCAGCATTGCTCTATTTATCTAAGTAAGAATATGGACTGATGCTTTACTGGAACTCTGCTTACCTGACCCACATAATAGAACTCTTCTGAGTCATTGTCTCCTTCTGAATCTTCCTCTATCGTGCTGTTATGTCTTGATTCCTAGATTAAAGAAACAAAGCCAAAAGCAATGTCAGAAAAACAGTGTATAAAAAAAGTAGAGTTAATAATAATCCTTATATTTGATACAGCACCTTTAATGTCAGGAGATCGTCTCAAAGTGCTTCACAGGATATAATGTAAAGTGTTAGAACTGCGTATTTATACCACAAACATGGAATTGTACAAAAGAAGATCACATGATCAAAATTTGGTCTGGATGAAGAAGGCCCTTCGGCCCATCTGATCTCATCACTCCAGAACACCAACCCCACCATCCCCCATCACTACATCAAGCTACTTTTTAAATGAGTCGAGTGTCCTGGCCTCTTCCACCTATCTTGGCAACTTGTTGATTACCCTCAGATAAAGAAAGACTTCCTGGTATTTGTCTGTCCTGAAGAATGAAAATATATCAAAGCACCTTTGGGGGGGGGGGGGGGGGGTTGGTAGATTCTCCCCCTTCCCTGAAATTATTATTTCAGACGGAAAGTGCAGATTAAATCCAATCCACAACTCTCTTGCTCACCAGTACCACACAGTCATTGTGATCACTGTGGAACTGTCCTGTGACTCTGACAGTCACATCACATCGTGGAGTCCTGTAGCTCAGTGGCTAGAGCACTCACCTCGCAAGCGAGGGACCTGGGTTCAATTCCCAGCATGGCAAAATATTGGGCAAGTTTCCTCCACACGCCTCTCTTTACCTAGCAGTAAGTAGGAACCCAGTTGTTAGTCGATTGGTGGATCGCTTTTCCAAGGTAATAACTCCTTCAAAAAAAAATAATAATAAATTGGTCACTTCGATCCACAGCTGTTTCTGGCACACTGCTGTGCGCAATTGGCTGCTGCGTTTCGCCCACAAAATATACAGTCAATTCACTGTACATTATATTTTGTGAAGAGCTTTGAGATGTCTCGAAGAAGGGATAAGGCGCTATATGAAATGCAAGGATTATTATTATCCTCTGGCTGAAGGAGGTTGCAAAGAGGAAGCATGTCTCAAAGCATAAAGTGTAGGGATCATGTATTTTGTAGGTTAACAAGGCAGATAATTTGTGCACAGCAATGTCACACATCAATCAGCTAAGAAGTGAATGACCGATTTATCTGGGGGATTGTTGGCCAGGACACCAGGAGACAGTCACTCTAATAGTACAATAGTACAATGGGAATCTTTAACATTCAACTGAATACGTACCAATAAGATTCAGATTTAATATCTCATCCGAAGCACAGCACCCCAAACAATAAGAGGCTTCCCTCCCCAACTCCAGCTCTGCACTGGAGTGTCAGCCCAGACTGTGAGCTATTTTAATAAAAATTGTGAAGTTAAGGGATATAGAAAAAAGGTGAGGAATAGCAATAGAAGGATAAAAAGCTGATATGAACCAATAAAAGGGTGGAGCGGGCTTGATGGCTGAATAGCCTTTGTCAGGGTCTGTATTAACAAAATTATATTATTGGGTTTATCAATAATAATTAGCTTCATAACAGGTAACAATAACCCAATGCAAACCACAACAATTTTACATTTACATTTCACGACAGGAGGACATCTCAAAATGACTCCTTCTGGTGCCAGGAGATACATCATACCAATGGTTGAGAACCCTTGTCGGGGAGGAAATCCCACAGGTCAACGTGATGCCCTTGCAGCTACCAGAAGCAGTAAGCATTGTGACTCGCAATCATTGTAAGCCAGTCCTGTTAGGAATCATTGTAATTTAGACCCTGGTGTAAGGCTCTGATAATCAGCCTTCCTCAGTGTTGAATTTTCAGACCATCTGCTACAACTTTTCTCTGGACTTGTGGGCTCTTTAGTAGTCTGTCGCGCTAATTTCTATATCCTATTATTTTGATGGGTTCCCCATGGTGCTCAGCACAGGCTCAAATGGCTGTACAGCAGCTGTCGTTTCCTTCACTGCTCAGTCAGTTCTAAGGTTCACACCAGCCTCTACTTTGCTCCCTCCATGCTACCATCAGTGGCTGAGCACATAGCCATTATGTCCCTAACCTCTGGAAGTCCCTCAACCCCTCAATCATCCCACTCTTTATCTGTCTTTAAATCCCACCTTAAAACCTACCTCTTATGGTCATCACTTATGGTCACTTCTCTCACTCCCTTCTCTCTTGCTCTGTGTCCAACCTCACCACTGTGAAGAACTCTGAGGTGTTATCCTACATGAAGGGCGTTATATAAGTTATATTTGTTATTGAATGAGATTGATAGATTTCTTGTGGATAAAGGGATTAAGGGATATGAGGATAAGGCGGGTAGGTGGATTTAAAATAGATCAGCCATGATCTTATTGAATGGCAGGGAAGGCTCGAGGGACCGAGGGGCCTACTCCTGCTCCTAATTCTTATGTTTTTATGTTCTTATGTTGATGTTATTGTTACACTGTGACATCTGATTTTGTACCTTTTCACCTCTTTAATCTAAAATGTTTATTCATACGGATTACAGAGACATGGATACAAAAATAGAAAGGGAAGACATGGTCTCAAACATTAACTGTGCCATTATAATGCAGGGACACATATGATATTAAACTTGCTTTGGACCAGTCTAACTCAACTGCACTCAGTTACACTCCATCTGCTCACTGTATTCAGGAAAAGCAGGACTAGGTTTAAAATGAAAAAGATCAAGGAGACTAAAGATTTTTTTTTTTTTTTCAAAAACTTAGTAGATACATGGATCAGCATCCCAGCAAAAAATCAGTCAATGTTGCTTCATTTAACTCCTTCAAAACTAGCTGGATACTTAACTGTTTATAGAGGCAACATTGGATGAACAGTAGAAGCCTGTTGTAACATGGGTTGGTTTATATAAAGTATGGACCCCATTCACTGTGACTCCAAGCAGCCGACTGGTTCGTTCCCACTCACTGGCCAGCTCTTGTACTAAAAAATGACTGACATGTCAGTCACCTGGTTACCACTAATGCCACTTCCTGGGTGTAGGACGTGATGTCAACCTGATGGCTCGGAAGTTGGCCATTATTTTTGGCACAAGAGCAGGTTGGCTACATACCATACAGAGTGGATGCTGACATCTCCTGACTGTTTATCGCGGTCCCATGTAAGTCGGTTTCAGATATTACGAAGCTCAGCTACTAACAAGGCTCCACTGACGTTAGTTACAGAATGAAATGACCGAATGCTCCATGGAACACTATGATTTCTGTGCTGCTGTACTGGGGGAGGGGGGAGAGATTAATGGTGGCCATCATGACACTTATCAATTAAATTGATAGTGATCCAAATCTACCTCCAACTTTCAAATAAATTGCCAGCTCATCGCATTGTTCTTTATGCGTCATTACTGATGCAGAATAGCTGCCGCATCTAATAACAACATTCGCCTCATTTCTAATCAATTATACGTTGTAAAGTGCTTCAAGACATTTCTTTTAACAGTGAAAGGTAAATTTAAACTATATAAAGAGAGGATGAGGCAGAGGGATTGAGGCAGTGAATTCCAGAGCTTCTTCATTCAAACCTCTCTTGCGAACATTCCAAGATACCCACCTTTAGTATTCAACAATAACAACAACTTGCACTTATATAGCACCCCTCATTCAGGGCAGCGTCCCAGAGCGCTTAGCTCTCAATTTATGAGCTGCGCTGAGCAAAAATATTTGAAAATATTTTTCTCATGTTGAGCAAGTTGTTTTTAAGCGTGACTTACCAGACCCCTCTCGTTGTGCAGTTTTGTTCTGACCGACAGGCAACTAGTGGCATCATTATGGAACCTTAATTCTGAAAAATATGGGAAAGATTTATAATATATAATATTCACAACGACTTCCTTTGGAGTGTGCAGAGTTTCATGGAGTGGGCGATCTTCCTTTGCATTTATGGCTCCCAATTGTCCCCTTGGCAAATATTTAACTGTGATTAGAACAGGATACAAACGATGCTAGCTAACAGCAGATTTCATTATAGTGTTTAGCCTATCAATTAAGGGGTAAAAAATCTTTGCATGAATTTACTACTTTTTTTACTCAACCAAGGACGTATAGAGATTCCATTGTGTCTCACATCTTATTACCTATCCCCATTAAAGAGCAAGTACTATGAATCTACTTAGCCAAATTATTCACGTGACGGAAGTGCAAGGCATTGGGATTAAAATATCCGCCAAGAGCTAATGAACAGGCACAATGGCCTAAATGTTCCTGTTGTCCTATGTTCATACTGAAGTAGCGCTCAACACAAAGATGATACACTCTCCTGGAAAAATGCCAACACCATCGTATAAGACCTCACAGGAATACAGACCCTGACAAAGGCTATTCAGCCATCAAGCCCGCTCCACCCTTTTATTGGTTCATATCAGCTTTTTATCCTTCTAAGCTATTCCTCACCTTTTTTCTATATACCTTAACTTCACAAGTACCTATGCATCCCCCAGTTAAGAAGCTGCATTGATCCTGCATCCATGACGCAAAACCCTTTGTGTGAAGAAAATACTACACACTTAACCTCTTAACTCTAATTTTAAGGTTATGTTGCAGACCGCACTCTTCACACTCAACAATACACACAACAATACACCCAATAAACCCAAGCCTTAGGACACAGAATCACGTTTATTGATTTCTATGAAGTATTACAATTCCTTTCAGCACCAACAACCTCTTTGATATTTTCTTTATTTGTTCAACTCACTGCATGGATTCTTCTTTCACTCAGCCTGACCAAAGTAAATTGCTCTGTTTATATTATACATTTTAGTGTTGCTTTTTGAGATGTTGGAATACCAAGACGAGCTCAAAAGACCACATACATTGTGGTTAAAATTATGAATATCTACTGTCAAGCTCAATGTTATCTGGCAGTCGTTCGTTCACTAAACTAGCCGGTGCAGTTGGCTGAATATTTCAACTTTCACATGAAAAAAACTCACTACCTCTCTGAGTAATCACCTGTTGCATCGATATCTGTAATCTCTCTAGCACACAACTAAAAAACAGAAGTGATTTGCACCACACACAGACTAGCTGTTTTCCCTTGAACTTTAGGAATTTTAAATTTCAGTTCTAAATGATAAGTAGCAATGCGTATTGAAATGTAAAAAAAACAGAAGTCGCTGGGAACACTCAGCAGGTCAGGCAGCATCTATCGAGAAAGGAAAGTGAGTCAACGTTTCGGGTCCACGACCCTTCATCAGAACTGGCGAACTGGGGTTCTGACGAAGGGTCATGGACCCGAAACGTTGACTCACTTTCCTTTCTCCATAGATGTTGCCTGACCTGCTGAGTGTTCCCAGCGACTTCTGTTTTTGTTTTCAGATTTCCAGTCTCTGCAGTATTTTGAGTTTTGTCTATTGAAATGTAGTTGTCCTGTCCATGGGCTGGTTTTGTGCTTCAGAGGATGGAGAGAAGAAAAAATAGGTTGTTGGTACTGAAAGAAACTTTAATACTTTACCCACAATGGTGGCATTTGGTAAAGTGTCACATCAATACAGCCAATTGGCCTACTTCAGAGAATTGTAACTTTGTGGGGACACTTAAAATGAAAGTTAACATTTTTACCATTGACTTGTACAAGTCCTATCCTAGGCATACAAACTCAGAGTAGCCTCCAACAAAGATTAATTGTTATAACAATATCAGTTCCACAAGTATAGGCCTGCATTACTCTGCCATGTTCCATTAAGTTGTTCGATTGTTTGAATCTACTCCACTGTTAAATAGTGCTGTTTGTACCCATTACATAGGAAAACAGTTGCAGTATTTAGTTACAAAGGGTCATTTAACCTATCGAGCCCTCTCTGCCACAGACCATTCTGTGGTAGTAAGTCCAACCACCTCTTCAAATCCCACATCCATGTCTTCTCACCATACAGTATTTCTACTCCCCACATATTTATCCACCTTCTTCTTGAATCTTTCATTCCATCCCTTTCTGGAGCATTTGATTCCAAAATCACATTACTCTGTGAGTAGAGACTCATTCCAGCCACGGTGCTAACCATTTAGACTTAAGGTTACGTCCTCTAGTAATTAATTGGTCCACAAGGGGGTTAAAAAAATACTCTCTGTTTACTTTGCAGATTGATTTCATAATCTTGAGTAACAGTTAAATCCACCTTAATTTCTTCAGCTCCTGGGAATACCCCCAAACACATCCAACCTTTCACTATAATTTACGATTTTCATTCATGTTATCATCCTTACAAGTTAGCATTAGTGACTCTTTTTGCCTCTTTCTCACTTTCTTTCTCTCTACAAGAAAGTATTCCATCTCCCCCCTTCCTTTCCAAACCAAAAGACATGGTTTGTCGATTGTTCCCTCAAGAATATTTTGTTCCTAGTGGCACGATTTAGGCAAACAGCAACCAGAATTTGACTCTTACCTGTTGTTATTCTTTGGAAAATGACTGGAATGGGATCTCTTGTGACTAGCACGTCATCATCATTCTCGGAATTGGACACATATGTATTGTCTGAAAGGGAGAAGATGACAATGTATTAGATTATTTCAATCTGGAATAATTTTGCATGTTTGTAAAGAATCCCATTTCAATGTGACATGATATTGTATACACATTTGCTCTTAGGAATGTTTTCCTGACAAAATAGTGCCTTAATTACCAGCCAGCAAAGAAACGGTATGTTTTCACTATGTACCAGTGAGAGGCTGCACAGTCTGATCTCAGCCCACATTGATTTGGGTTTCAAACAAAAAAAATTCCTAAGTTTCCACTGACAACCCAGTGCCTGGTCCAAATACCTGGTGTAATAATGAGGTACACACAATGAGATGTTACCCAGGTCTGTGAATAGTTAATTGATCTCAGCAAGGCAGGCAGTAGAGGTGTTTCATTTGGTTTCCTGGACCCAAATAGAGCAAAAATCGGATGAAAAGTCATGTGAGAAATGTCAGACTCAACTGTGATGCCCTCTACAGTCGAGAGACCTGCCAACATTCACTGTCCCATTTACAGTGCACATGAACAATAGCTGTCTCACACCTCAGACCGCCGAGACCCTCATACACGCGTTCATAAAATCCAGGCTCGACTACGCAACCACGCTGCTTGTTGGCCTCCCCAACTCCTCCCTCCACAGGCTGCAGATCATCTAGAACTCTGAAGCCCGTGTCCTCTCCCGCACCTGGCTCCACGACCCTGTCACCCCCATCCTCACCCGACCCCACTGGCTTCCCATCACAGAGGATACAGTTCAAGATCATTGTCCTCACTTTGAAAGCCCTCCATGGCCTTGCACCCCCCTACCTCTGTGCCCTTCCTAATCCCTACCAACATACCCGCTCCCTCCACTCAGCGGCATCCGGCCTGCTTCATGTCCCCCGCCTCACCATTGGCGTGTGAGCCTTCAGCAACTCTGCCTCCACCCCCTGGAAATCCATCCCGTAGTCCCTCCACCTTGCCCCCTCCCTTGCCTCCTTCAAGACCCGTCTCAAGACCCTCATCGTTGACCATGCCTTTGGTCACCCTCCTTTCACCCCCTGCCCTCCACCCTCCCCGATCCCGACTCTCAGCTCGGGTCTGAAACACTTCATTGTCCAGTGCCTTGGGACGTCCTCCCAATGTGAAAGGTGCTATACAAATGTAATGTTGTTGTTGTTGTAGCTAGTTGGGCGGTACCATAGGGCAGCCAGCACCCATGGAACTGCACTACACCATGTGTTCAGACCATCTCTTTTCATAGAATGAAACCTAGAGTTTGTACTGGATATGAAAGGTGTTCATGATGTGGCTGTTAATGAGTCAGTGTAGTTCTCACTCACTAACTAGTTCTGAGGTGAGGAAAGGGAGAATTAACCCTGACCCAATGAGGATACAGAGATAGTTTACAGTGTGGAGCATATGTATAACTCACATTAGTGCTGAAGATAAAGGAAGAAGCCTCGACTCATTTCTGACAGGTTGACAAATACCGTAGGTTTTTGGAGTTTGTTTTAAATGAAAGTTGTATCAATCTGTATTAATTAATATTGTTTACAAAGGATTCAGTATTAAGAGATAGAATTCAGATGGATTAGTCCATAGACTACACAGATGGACAACAGTCTGTACTATGCTATCTTTTAATACAATAGTTCACTCACAAACACAACCTGTGGAGTCCTGTAGCTCAGTGGTTAGAGCGTTCGCTTTGCAAGCGAGAGACCTGAGTTCAATTCCAGGCAGGGGGAAACCTTGGGCAAGTTTCCTTATCCACACGCCTAATAATAATCCCTCCAAAAACAATAAAATTGGTCATTTTCAATCTATGACTGTTTGTGGGACATTGCTGTGCGCAATTGGCTGCCGCGTTCGCCCACAAATATACAGTCAATTCACTTTACAGTGTGTTCTGTGAAGCGCTTTGGGAAGTCCTCCCGACGTGAAAAGCGCTATATCAAATGCAAGGATTATTATTATGTCAAGTGATCTCATAGTGTGTACAACATCAACAACTTGTACTCCACGCAGGGTAGAGTCTCAGAACGCTTAACAGTTAACGCCTGATTCCGAGCTGGGGGGTTGGGGGATGTGACTTTTGCAGAAATCAAGCTTTTAACATTGCACTTACTCACTCTCTGGAAGATACAATGGGATACAAATTTCACCTGGTGTATGTTTAGTCTATTTACTTAATATTTTAGAGCATCCAGAATTTGGCAAATTCTTAAAATGAATTTAGGCACTACAGAAAAACAGCTTCAAACTTAAACCAAATTCAAGAATTTGGCAAATTCTAGACATTCTGAAATGGTATATAAATATAGTAAATCTAGGCCCAGGTGGAATTTCTCCCCAATTATGTCTCCTTTGTGCCATAATGTTCTGAGCTGACCGCAGCAGGCTCGAGTTGTCTGTGGCTGTACAATAACAAAAACGTCAGTTGCACAATGAAATCTGCCAGCTACACTTAAAACAATAGCAGCAGCATAAAAGTTAGATGTGCAATCTATAGATCAATAACCTTACTATTGATCGTTGTCAACCAAATGGAGCTTGTAATGAATTGGAAACTTTTTTAACAGCTAAATCATAAGAAACTGCTACTATTTGCCTTCAGAAAAATCAGTTGATTTATGAGGCTTTCCATCTCATGGTTCAGAAATGGAATTGAGTTCTCTATGACCAGCACAGAATGAATGCAGAAGCACTGGATTTTTCCAGAGCCTTGGTTAGGACAAAGCATCCTAGCCTCAATGAGAAGCTGGTTTCTTATGGTGTGTTTGGTGAGCTGCTGAAATGGATTTAAATATAGGGTTGTGACAAATAGGGTTTGTTTATTTATTGTAACACAGGGCTCATTAGGGAGATACACATGGTGACCACACTTTCCTTCTTGCCTTCATTAATAACCCTGGTGGATGTCATTAAAAGTGATGTTTGTTCTTTTTCCTGCAGGCATCAGACAGTGGATTACTTGCCATCTGAGGAACAAACCAAGACCAAATCTGTATAGCGTGGCAGGGAAGGGGAGGGCAGACAGAAGGTACCTTACCTGCAGTGCTGACAGGACCAAGTCAATAACTCTACTGAGAAAGAGTGAATGCACCATTGCTCACCTATCTTGAAAATTTGAAGGATGGAAGCTATCTTCAGCACAGATCCTCAACTCATTGCTTTGATAATCACACCTAATCTGCGCTGAGGCAAGCAAGTGCTGAAAATGCCTGCAAAAGCTCTTGCATTAGTAGTATCCTTACCTTTACTAGTCATCGTCAGTACACTCACTGTTCTTCAAACTTCTCACTACTGAGTGAGGAAATATTATCATAATAATCCTCGCATTTGGTGTCGCACCTTTCACCTCAGGAATCACATTTCACATCCTAAACAGCTTCACAAGTTTTTATTGTGAAGTGTAATGACTGTGTATATGGGAGCTGAATGTTAGCAGTCAATTGTGCATAGTAGTGTCCAACAAACAGCCATGAAACAAATGACCAATTTTATTTGGAGAATTGTTGGCCAGGACAGCGGGGGAAATTCCCTTCTCTTTTCGAATATAGTTGTCTGAAGGACCTCTGATAATGCAACACACCCCAGCACTGCATTGGAGTGTCATCTTAGACTATGTGAGTTCAACTGTCCACGGGTAACCACCCTAAGTGGTGAACCCACCACTTCTGACTTAAGGGTGCTACCAACTGAGCCACACTGACACACTTGTATCACTTGTTTGGTAGATAGCCAAGAAAACACATCTCTTGTTTCCAGATTCACAGACCCAAAATCAAATATAACAATAATCCTTGTAATTGATATAGCGCCCTTCATATCATGAGGACATCTCCAATCACTCCGCAGGATTTATTGTACAGTGTAGTGACTCTATTTTGTAGGCTCTGACAGCAGCAACTTTCACGCTGGATAGCATCTCCGAAAGCTGAGCAAGGGAGAAGGGGACGTGACCACAGGTGCAGTCAAAGAGGCAGAACTTAAGATGGGATTTAAAGATAATTGGGAGGGCGAGGCAGAGGGATTGAGGCAGTGAGTTCAAGAGGTTAGGGGGTTACTGGCTGAAGGCACGGCCTCTAATGGTGGAATAGAGGGGTATAGCAGGCCTGTGTTAGCTGAGCGAATGGGCGGGCCGAGCATTAGGGTCCGAGGAGGAACAAGTGGGTCAATCTGCTCCTGACTGTGAAAGCCTCTCCTACATAACGTTATTGTATGAGGAAGTTCAAAAACAGATCTGAGAGGTATGAATGAAGAAGGCCCTTTTTGATCTTATTCTGTCAAAATGTCCACACCGCCCTCTTCCCATTTCAGCATCGAGCTACTTCTTAAACGAGGCAAGAATTTTGACCTGTCACCCTTCCTGTTTTGACAATTGTGAGTAATGAATGAAATCAACATCCCCATGTCTCTGTCAAATCTCCCTCCCATCCTTAGTTCTACCCTGGCAGTTGAAGCAGAAAGCATCAATGCAATTAATAGGAAACTCAACAGACTAGTTGGGGGGAGTTACGCAGACTGTACAGCACTGAAACAGGCCATTCAGCTCAACTAGTCAATGTGGTATTTATATCAGCCCACAAAATATACTTGACAGTATATTCTGTGAAGCGCTTTGAGACGCCTCGAAGACATGATAAGGTGATATATCAAATGCAAGGATTATTATTGTATACCACACGAGCCTTCGTCCCTTTGTAATCGTCTCTCCCCCCTCCCCTTTCCCATACTCCTTTCATCAAAACAACAAGTTTCCTCACAAATTCATTCATGCTTTCTGCTTCAACATTCCGCAAGTGAGTTGTGTGAGGGCTATAAGGAAACCGAAAGAGTCCGAACAAACTTTATAGAAGCTGAGGGCCCCTCCTGAGCCTCTGCTGATTCTGAGAAAGAGCTCATGGATCGACTTTGGAGAAAAACCTATTTACTCCACAATTCTGAGAAAAGAATGGGAACTATCATTCTTATTCTGTTATTGTACCAGATATCTGGCAATTGTAAGCAGCATGAGTGCTGGGCCTCAA